CTCTGAGGGGTGTGCATATATGAATATTGGTGTGCATATATCTACTCAAGTCATGGCTTGTGTTTCTTGTGGGTAAATACCAAGGAGAGGAATTGCTGGATCATAAGGTATTTCTATTTCCAACCTTCTGAGGAAGCCCCATATTGCTTTCCAGAGAGGTTGGACCATTTTGCAATCCCACCAACAATGTAGCAGGGTCCCAGTCTCTCCTCATCCTCGCCAGCATTTATTGTCCTCTACTTTTTTTTATCTTAGCTGTTATTGCTGGTGTGAGATAATATCTCATTATTGTTTTGATTTGCACCTATCTGATGGCTAGTGATCGTGAACATTTCTTCATATGTTTGTTGGCTGCCCGCCCGGATATCTTTCTTGGTGAAGTGTCTGTTATGTCCTGTGCCTGTTTTTTAATTGGGTTATTTGTCTTTTTCCTGTAGAAGTGTCGTAGTTTCCTATATATTTTAGAAAGGAGTCCCTTATCTGTTGTTGTTGTTGTTTGTTTGTTTGTTTGTTTTGTCTTCCTCTAGTCAAATTCTGATTATCAATTCATCGAGGCTAGGTCCAATGGGTACTATCTGCAAGTTTGGGTGTTCTTGTGTATCTCCCCTCACTTCATATCAACTGGATGGATGCTTCACTCTCAGCTCTAGCCCTATGTGGCTATGTCCTTATCCATGGGTTCAAGTGTCCCCAGGTCTCGCCACATTTTGGCCCAACCAGCCCTTCCTATTCTCTTTCTCATCTCCAGGTCAATGGGAGTCTATGGAACGTGGTTGAACTCAGCCCATTTCTTCATTGCTGCTTTTCCCCCTCTTCCACTCACGAGTAGACCAATGTTGTCACCAGCAAGCTTACATGCCTGCTCATGTGTTACCCTTTGAGTTTCAGTCTTAGACGGGAGTTTGTCCTGAAGGGACTTAATTGTTTGCCTTGATGGCTTTCTGGCAAACTACTTGTCATTCTTGTAGTAGCCAATCAGATTGCCATTTTTGTTTATTGTTGCCTTTTGCATTGTTGAAAGAAGATAATTGCAATGAATAATTCATTGATCATGTGAAATTCTATCTTGTGATCTCCAGCATCATTTCGCCCACCAAGACCATATTTTCCAACTACTTATCATTCCTTTTTGCTTCCAACTTTTACATTCCAATCATCAGTAATTATCAATATATCTTGGTTGAATGTTTGATCAATTTCAGACTGAAGAAGTTGGTAGAATTCTTAAATTTTATCATCATTGGCTTTAGTGATTGGTGTGTAAATTTTAATAATAGCGGTATTAACTGATTTTCCTTGTTGGCGTTTGGATATTATCCTATGACAGACAACATTGCACTTGAATAAAGATCTTGAAATGTTCTTTTTAATGATCAATGTGACACTATTTCTCTGGAATTTGATGTTCCTGTCATAGTAAACCATAACATTGTTTGATTCAAATGACCAATAGCATCCATTTCAATTCTCTAATGCCTAGGATATCAATTTTGTGTATTCCATTTCATTTTTGACAACTTCCAGTTTTTCTAGATTCATACTCTGTACATTTCACATTCTGATTTTTTAAAAAGTTTTTATTGTGAATTATGTGATCGTTTACATGGGAGAACACGAATTTACATTCATCCTATCATATTTCATTTCCTTGCAATAATTACAATCCCCTCCATGCATCATCAAACAACCAAAGGGTACACCCTGCAAGTCTGCCCCCTGGCCATCAGCACACAGCCCCTCTCCCTCCCTGAGTCCAGAATCCCCAGATGCTTCATCTCTCCATGTTATCATCTCTGCCTCCATTTCTGGCATCACTGCTTCTCTGGGTAGGGTCCCACACTCCACTCTTCTCACTTGATGGTCCCAGGATCCTCTGCTCCTGGACTGCAAGATCAACCACTCCCCTCCTTTTGTTACAAAACATCTACCTTTACATTTCTGACCCTCACAGCCAGCCCTGATAGCAATAATTCACTATTGTACCACAAAAGTCCTATCCCCATCTCCTTTCATCAGTCCCATCTAGACAGGTTAGAAACTGCTCAGTGGAGATTCTACCTTTCCCCGACACCTCTGAAACTAGGCTCCCTTTTGAAAGCTTGTAAGCCAGTCATTTCTTACCTTAGTAGCCCCCCATTTTAGACAGCCAATGTCTAAGTTGCCCATCCTTGTCAACCCTGTATATCGAGGGGATGGGAATGATCCTCGCTGTAAGGATTAGTTTCCTTTTTTGAGCTACTACATCCATAGGTGTAGGTCAAGTTCTGATAATTACTTTTTGAAGCTGTTTCTTCTCATTTTTAATTGTGCCTTATCAGCAAAAGCTTTGCTCCATCCACATTAACATCAACTCTTCTTTGACGATATAGCCCTTCTAAACATATTTTGAGTGTCTTCCCAACCTGAGGGTGTCATCTTCCAGCACTATATCAAACAATATTCCTTTGCTATTGTTGATAAACTTTTCAGTGGCTAACCATTCTGAAGTTGTCCGCCTCTCCTTCTTCCTAAGCTGTCATCATCTGGTAGCTCCACTATAACCTGTCCACTTTGGAGGACCCCGCTGGTATTTAAAATACTAGCAGCATAGTTTCCAGCATCACACAAGCTATCACAGTATGACAAACTGACAGGTGAGTGGAGGAGCAGGAGGATAGGAACCCAGAAATCTGCCAAGAACAACCCTATGTGGGCTACTGTGCAGAACACAGTGGGCTGCATGACAAACATAGTTGCTGTGGACAAGGAAGCTGGCAAGATGACTTCATAGCATGGGATGTTTTTCCTTCCAGGGACACTAGGAAATGTTTGCCCACCTCACAAGGTCTTTGAGACAGTGAGATACTGAGTACTTTGAATCCCTCTTGATCCCTAGCTCTGAAATAGTCCTGTAATTGTTTCTATCTCAGAGGTCTTAGCTGCACATTGAAGGTGGTGTCTGAAGTAGAGCTTGTCCATCTGGGTGCTGTGCTTAAATCTCTTAGACCTAAGTTCTTTGACCAGAATACCACATTTTTCATCTGGGGTGTTCCCATCTTATAGCTGTTTCTCAGATTTCTCTGTAGGACAAAGAGTTGGGAGAGAGAAGGGAGGAGCTATGAGCCACTGGATTTTTCTCTGTCAGTTGTATTATTCAATGCATGGCTGTTTTTGTGGAGCTGTTGGGGTCCTGGATGAAGATCCATGGAAGGGAGACTAAAGATAAGAACTAACTCCTGCTCAAGAAGTTACTGATTTATTTACCAGCAACCCCTATCCATGCTTCTACAGCAATCTGCTGTATTTTGTGTTTGTGGTTATTTATAACCATAACACACACACACTTGTTGTTGTTGTTGTTAGGTGCCATCGAGTCAGTACCAACTCATAGCGACCCTATGCACAGCAGAACGAACCACTGCCTGATCCTGGGCCAACCTCACTACTGTTCCCACGCTTGAGTCCATTGATGCTGCCACTTTGCCAATCCATCTCGTTGGGGATCTACCTCTTTTTCTCTGACCCTCCACCTTACCAAATATGATATCCTTCTTCAGCGACTGGTCCCTCCTGACAATATGTCCGAAGTATGAGAGACGAACTTTGGTCATCTTGGCCTACAAGGAGCACTCTGGCTGCAATTCTTCCAAAATGGACCTATTAGTTCTTTTGGCAGCCCATAGCACTTTCCATTTTCTCCTCCAACACCATAACTCAAAAGCATCAATTCTTCTACGGTCTTCCTTATTCACTGTCCAGCTTTCGCATGCATATGAGGTTATTGAAAATACCATGGCTTGGGACAGGTGCACCTTAGTTCTCAAGCTGATATCTTTGCTCTTCAACACTTTAAAAAGGTCTTGTGCAGCAGATACATTGTTTGATTTCTTGACTGCTGCTTCCATGAGTGTTGATAGTTGATCCAAGAAGAATGAAGTCCTTGACAACTCCAATCTTTTCTCCAATGATAAGAATATTGTTCATTGGTCCACACACTAGTATTAGGTTATTTATCATGAATTCACAGTCCCTCACACTCTGGAAGTGCTCAAGCTTGTTGAATGAATGAATAAGCTGCATTGTACTATCTACTTACTGAAAATTGCTACCTGATTGATTTTTTTTTCGATTTTTTTCCTCACTCAGAAAGAAGATCTTCAAATATATTTTAAATACCACAAGAACCTGCCACGAGCTAGGGCTATCTGGCAAGAATGTCAAGACTGTGCCTACTTTGGGGTAACGTTGGCATTACAAAATCTCTCACAAATGGTTCTCCCTGGAAAACGCTTATATGCAGCACAGAATTTTCACAGAAATCAATATTACAAAATAGTCCGAGGAAGATGGCATTTATGTTTATCAAATTTATGTTTGTTAAAGGTCTTTCATATATTGAAAATACACTGGAATTTTCATGCTCCCGGAGTTGCTATGAATAGGCCTATGTGCAGAAACCGTAGCTGGTGAGACACCAGGGCACTCTTCTAGAATGGAGTTTGAAAATGGAACTAAGTCAAAAGTGTCACCCTTTGGGGCTCCCTGGAATGATGCAAACACACCATCTAGGTGTCCTTCAGGCTCAACACGACCTGAACAGATGCCCCACCACCAACTTGAAGATGGGTTGTGTTCATTTCAGGATATGAAATACTCCTATCTTTTCTCTAATTGCCTATAAAAAATACGATCCACGCCGTCTACATTTCTCTTTCTCTCATTTCATATGCTTCTCTTGATGGACAGAAAAACTAATAACATTCTAAAACTGGTCGGCACAGCCACCCCCTTGTCCATGAAGAACCCATTTCATTTCTTATATTTAAATGCTGTCACAGTTGTTTTCTGTGTGTGTATTGTTTGTTTTGTTTTATGTTGTTTCTCTTTGACTTTTAAAGGTATGCCAGCGCCAGTTGGAACACAATCTCCCTCTTTTTAAGTATCTTAGAGAACCAAGCCAGAGACTTATAAAATACCAGATGCTGTTGAAGGTAAAATCAATGAAACAGTGTTTTTCAGTTTATGGGAATCAGATGCCTGGGCTATATGGTGCTCATTTTTTCAGATGTGTCCAGTTGTGACTTGGCCTTCCAAGGCTGGAGATAATGTCTATTCTTAGATTTTTTCTTTCCTGCAAGTCTCTATCAGTGTCTTCAGTGAGAAATAGACCCAAAAGAATTGTACTTATGGAAAGGACCCTGGTGCCTGACTAGTGCAACATTCATCCCAGGACATGAATCTCAAAGGAGTATGGCTTAGAGGACTAGAGGATATTAGGAGCAACAGGGTGGGGAAGACAGCCATCTTTCTGGCAGCTGAAAGGATTGGGGAAGGCAGGCAGAGCATTCTTCATTGTCTGATTCAGTCTGTGATCTAAAACACATAATGTACCATCTCCAGTTTACAGATGAAGCTAAGAGCTTCAGAGAAGAGATATGATTTCCTCAAAGTCACTATTTTATGTGCATTAAGACAATGGGAAAAAAAGAAAGCAAAACTGTAGTCTTCTTTCCTTTTGCACATCTGCCCATGGATTTAGGATCTTTTATTGAGAGCTGCATAACAGCTCTGTCCCAACCCCCAAGTGGTTTTTTCTCATCCTTCCACTCCTTACTGGTGAGGCATTGCCAGCAGCACTTCAGCAGACTAGGTGTCCCAGACACCCCACATATGACAAGGGGTTCTATCAGGCTGGTTTCCCACCTGAGCCCCATGGAGAGGCTTGGGGCCATCTCTATAAGTTATATTTTGAGTTAACCTACATAAGGTATGTAAGGTGATTCTTAAATCAGGTACCATGGTTGCTTAAGGAGCTCTGGTAACATAGTGGTTACGAATCAGGCTGCGAGATGCAAGGTCAGCAGTTCGAGACTACCAGCTGTTCCGTGGGAGAAAGACGAGGCTTTCTGCTCCCGTAAAGATATACAGCCTCGGAAACCCTGTACAGGGTTGCAATGAGTCGGAACTGACTCCATGGCATATAACAACAACAACAACAATGATTGCTTAATAAAAAATGAGCACTCCTGTTTACTGTGTATAAGGGGACTTCAAAAGTTTATGGAAAAGGAGAACAAACAAGGTGGTGCAGAGGGTGGAAGTGAGGAGCTCTGTCAGCAAAAACACAGAATACCAAACCAAGCAGGCTCAGAGGA